GCCCAAAGAATCAAAGACTAAATGTGGGAGGGCACTGAAGCCGTGCACAGTCTAATCCTGTGCCCCTTCCACCCAGCTGCCCAGGTAGGAATTCCCACAGCCTGCTGCCCCTAACGGTGGCGGCTCATTGCCTCACAAGGATGCTCATTTCAGGTTTCCTGGCTGGCCAGCATGACATCTTTCTGGGGTGTCCTCGAGGCTCCCGGTAGAGCTGCCATGAGGGTGGAGCTCATTTTGGAAATGCAGTGTCCTGGGTTTTACTAGGTAAGCCCAAGGACGTTGGTCCCCAGGGACTGAGGCAAAGGGGTGGCTGGTAAGGTGGCTGGGCTGGTGAATCCCCAGACCTCTTTCCTGCCCCCAACCTAGAGGGCCTGGGAGAGCTCCACTTGGAACCAGATTCTGGGGCCCAGTCCTGTGTGGAGGAAGGGGGTCCTTCCCACCTCGAGGTCTTGCAAGCCTCCACCTCTGGGCCTGGGGTAGGACAGCCTCTGGGGTGGGACAGCCTCGGGTAGGGTGGTACACTGGGGAGATTGGCCTAGAGTAACCCCACCCCTGTGCCGCTGAGTCATTACCCCTCTGGCTGGCCTACCCTGTCCCCAGTTTCCTCTTCTGCAGGGAGGGGGAGGGGTATAGGAGCGAGTTCCCCTGGAGCTGTGAGAAAGCCGGCGGTCTTTGTGAGTGTGGAGGGAGGAGGGCACAGTCGCCTGCTCTGCGGGGTCAGGGTGGGGGCTGCTGCCGTTTGATGTGCCTGGGCGGGGTGTGGGGACGCTGCCCGAATAAAGAGGCCATAGAATTGCTGCCTGACACTGGCCCACCGTGGGGCTGCCTCGGCCGGCTCCCTCTGGCCTCTGTCTGTCAGTGTCAGCCGAGGGACTCCGCTCCCCCCAGCTCCACTTCAGCCGTGCGTGCGGGGTGGCAGGAGCCCCTTTGAAAGCCCTCAAAGGCCCCTTTATACGTCCCCCTGACCCTCCCTTCCATAGGGAGCTCCGGGAGTGGGCTTGGTTGCCTTCCTCCCGCCTCCTCCACTCTGTCATCAGGATTTTGGAGAAAGTTCAGGCAAGCTTGTTGCTGTCACTCAGCTTCAGTTCCCCTTACTCCTCGCTGGGCCCTAACCTGAAGTGGGTGTGACCGAGCCCACTGCCTGCTGGGGTGCACGCGTTGGAGCACAGGCCACGTTTAGCTCTCGGTGGCTGGGGCTGGACGGACGAATGCAAGTTCGCTGATCCTGCCAGGGCCCTTGGCTCTCTGGCTGGGGTCCTGCTCCCCCAGGGGTGAGGAAAGATGGCCTGGGGAGGAGCTCCAGGAAGGTTCTCAGAGCTCTTGGGTTTCCTCCAGCCTTCTTGCTGTCCTGTCATCAGGGGCCAGGAGAAGAGGGAAGATATCTGGAACTTGAGAGGCTCTTGTCCTAGAAGGCTGCGGTTCCTTTCCACGAGGTCAGGCCAGACTCCCCCTTTCAGTACCTCCACGCCCGCCTCTTCCTACCCCTCCCCGCCAGGTGTGATCAGAGTCTGGCTCTTTGGGTTGATCTTCTGTTTGCCAGGCAGGCAGAGTGCTCCAGGAGCGGCGAGCAGGAGGATTTGAGTCAGAAGCATCTCTGAGACTGGAGGATATAAGGGAGAATTGGATCCCGCCTCCCTTCCTGAATCCCTGAGGACAGGGGAGCTCCCCAAACAGGGGATTCGGCAGTGCTCCAGCACTTGCAAGACTTAAGATACTTGTGCCCTGGAGCTGCATGTAGGAGTCTAGCAGGACAGTGGTGCTTGTCTCCCACCTCTCTGGGCCTGGGAGCCAGAGGGCCTGCACTGCTCTGTCTGAGTCCCAGGGAGGAAGGCCTGGAGGGACTGCCGGGGCCTGGAGTTAGTGCTGTGGGTGCCCTCTGTCACTTCCTCCACCCTGAGGGCCCTGGAGTGGGGATGAAGGGGGCAGACTGGGGCACTGGGCAAGAGGTAGGGAGGAGAAAGGGGGCTTTGGAAGGGAGAGAGTTCAGTTGGGTTTGGAATTCCTCAAACACTTCCAGAACGGAAAGAGGAAAGCCTGAGGGTGGTGAGAGTGCCCTGGAACCCCCAGGAACAGTAGAAATCAAAAGGGGGCGGACGGGCTCAGCAACCTAAGAACAGAGTGTGCAGAGCAGGACCTGAAGTCGGCGGACTTCCTAACCTACTCCCTTCAATGAATTCCTCACCTGGCCCAGCCCCTGGTTTCCAGGTCGAGCCTCCGCGGGGTGGAGAGAGGTGCAGCGGAGGGGAGGCAGCTAAAGGGCCGCCTGGGTTATAGGCGGATGAGGGGACATTCCTCTTATCGCCCCTTTGTACCTTTCTCCTTTGTGGGCTAAGGAGCTGGATTAAGGGACGGAAGGAGGCAGGTGGGGTGATTAATAGTTGCTGGAGAGCTGCAATTTATTTTAAACAAGGGAGAGCAACCAGGGCTTGGAAATGGGGGCAAGTTGTGGGTGAGGTTGGGTCTGACCACTTCTGTTTGCTCAGGGAGGACCTGGTTCTTAAAAACCCAGAGCAGGTGAGCGTCCAGGGTCCGCCCAGGCTAAAGGCAGGGTGTGGAAAGGGCTGGAAGCCTTTTCATCCTGAACCCCTCCCTCCAAGCAGGAAAGCACCCCTGGTCTCTGTGAGGTCTACTGCTTTCCTTCTGGGGGCTGCTATGGCAGTGCAG